ATTTTGAATCGTAGAATGAAAACTTTGAAATGCACTAAATGCATCAGATTTATGTTTAAGGGGATACAACCAACAAAATTTTGTATAATCATCCACGAAATTAATATAAAATTGATAGCCACCAAACGAGGGGACTGAAGTAGGACCCCAAACATCAGAATGTACTAATTGAAAAGGTGCAGTAGTAACAGTAGCAGATAATGAAAAAGGGAGTTTATGAGACTTAGACATAAAACAAGAGTCACAAAAGAAATTATTCGACTCAAAAGAGACACCCAACTTAGAAAATAACTACTTCGTAACTTGGAAAGAGGGATGACCAAGCCTACAGTGCCACTAATGAGACGTCGGCTTCAAGGCGTTGATCACCACTGGAACCGCGGTAAGAGTGGATGACAAACAAACAGACTGAGCTGGTAAGGTGCATAAACCCCGCTCGCATGGGCCTTTGTATATCACTTGGTTGGTATGATTGTCCAGGATCATAAATTCTATAGAAGTAAAAAGAAGGGAATACTTATTTTCAGTGGTGAATTGGTGAACTGATAAAAGGTGGGTTTTTTAATCAGGGACATGGAAAAGGTTAGAGATGGTGAACGTACATGCGGGTGTGGACACTTTTCCTGAGCCAACATAGGATATAGGTAGAGACTGCCCTCCAGCGGTAGAAACTGAGTTTGGGCCATGGTAAGGAGAGGGAGTATGGAGCCTTGATAAATCCGAAATCACATGAGTTGTTGCACCAGAGTCTAGATGCCAATTCTGATTAGTGTTTGTAAGATATGTGGTGTTAAAAGTTTGAGCATTATTAGTGAAATGAGGTGGACCAGAAAAATCTGCATTGTAACGATTCCAGCATTGCCAAGAACCATGATTAAATTTACCACAAATTTGGCATACTAGTGTCGATGCTCGATAAGGGCCATAGCCACGATCACAATCTGACTGGAACTGGCCACACCCACTGGTACGGCCCCTCCTCGGCCATTGAAGGAGCGACCACGGCCACATCCACGTCGACTTTCATCACGTCCATTTGTAGTATATAAAGTAGTATGAACCTCAGTTGACGAGCCAGAGGAGGAGCCAAGATGCATCTTTTGTTCCATTTGCAGATTGAGCTCCTCGGAGAGCAACCAAGATGACACTTTGTTGAAAGTAAGGCCAGTAATGTTCCTCCGAATATTCTGTTTAAGTGAGGCATACTCGGATAGCAAACCTCGCAGGACACTAAGAATAATGTCATGTTTAGGGACGGGCTCAAGTGCAAGAGCAAGAGATGAAACAATTCCAAGCACTGAGTCTAAATATTTTTGCATAGAATCATGCCCTTTGCGAAGGTTGTTGAGTTGCTCTTTGAGTTGAAATATATGAGTACGGGGCAGAGAATTATACCGTGTATGTAGATGATCCCAAATCTCGGCAGCAGAGGAGCAAAGATGAACTAAATTCTGAATGGTTGGGGAAAGAAAAGCAAGAAGAGACGCACGAAGTTGAGCATCAATAATAAGCCATTGATCATAGGCCGGATTTGGTTTGAGAACCGGATTTTTTTCTGCGTTAACAGACACCTTTTCATCCAGAATAGTTGGCGTAAGAACCTTTACAGAACCATCAACATATCCAAAGAGACGGTGTACCTGAAGTGTAGCTTTAACGGTTGATGACCAAGACGGATAATTGCTATCATCTAATTTTATAAGAACAAGTGTTGGGTAACCACGCATGGATAGCACAGCGGAAAACAAAATTTTTATATCCAATCGTCGTTATCACCAAAGATCGTCTTACGAAAACTATAAATTATTGTTCAGAAGAATACCTTTTCTCGTTAGAAACAGATCGGACGGTGTAGGTGAAGAGATTGGTGCAACGAACTAGTCACAAACGAATCCAACCTCTAGCGGGTCCACACGAACAACGAACGGTGTTCCAAGAAGAATTTATGCTAATAAATTCTTCCTAGAATACTACTTGAATATAGAAAATTACTAGGAATGATTAACAAAGATATGAAATATATTTTTCCCCTTTTTCTTTGTGATTTTTGACCAAGGTTGTAGATAAAGAGAATAAAAGTGGCGTGTAGAACTCTTCTATTAAAAATGGAGACCACCTCTTATAGATGATCTAATCATATTAGAAAACTCTTTAAGGAATTATTTTAACTATCTAATCATATTAGATAATTATTAAGGAATTAAGGATAGAGTCAAACTCTTCTTCTCCTTTTTTCCTCTTAATTTTCGCCCCCCCATAAAATATAATAATTTATTTTGTCAAATTTAATTATCATATACTTAAGACAAAAATAAATATTAAATATATATTTAACAATCGGTATTCACATTACCGAACACACACAAATATATATGTATATGTGTGTGTGTGTGTGTGTGTATATATATATATATATATTATTTCTCACATTATATTTGACAAACTTAATTATCACATAATTAAAAAGTCAACATATTTATTTAAAATGAACGTCATACGTCCCATATTATTTTACATCATTCCATTTAATTTTCTACTATGTTCAATTGTTCTATGTGTGTGACCCTTCTAGATATTCATAACGATGACAATGTATTAATCACAATTAATACTATAAACGATAAGCAGTATCTTGAAACACATTATTGCTACCCATGTTATAAACATAAAGTTTATTCCAACAGTACATCCAACGACACATTACATTTGTATAACTCTTATCCCTTTATCACTAATGTCTAGATTTAACACAAGGTATGGGAAGTGTAACCTTCTTAGAGTTAAATCATTGGTTTACTAATTCTCAGATTCACTTGTGGGATTCGAATAACATTAATATCACATATATTAATTTATCTGAGTATGACCATACACTTCTCAAGTCATATCAATCAGTGGACTCGAAGACATTACACTTCTTCACAATGGAAGGGATGAATTTTTGCTACGTCATTCATGCCTTTACATATGTCTAACTATATACCCAAAACATAACTGTACACCCACCAATATTTCAGATGGCATTATATATGAATCAAAGCATATAGGTCAACATATTAAAGATCATAATGACCTCAAGGCTAATGATAGTTATACCAATGGTCGAATGAGAATACTACTAACACATTTAAAATAATACCCATGTAGTATTCTCATGGTGGGTCAGTCCAGTACCATATCCCAGATATGTACCTACGTATAGATTAAGATATCACAATATCCATAGCCTATGAGACGTAGCTATCTTGTCTCATACGTATTAGTTTTAGTGTATTATGACGTCTGTATTATCATAATATTTGACTAAGGACATTTTAGACATAGCCTCTATTAATAAAACAACCTCATAATCAGAACATCGTAGTTCTAATCTATGCTACCAGAGCGCTAAGACTATGGACTAAAGCCATGTTTAGATACATGAGATGTATAAACATCTGCAGCCCCTTTCGGACTAAAGTATAAACTTGGTATTCGTAAACATTCAAAAATATTTCAAACATTTAAAACTTTATTTCATAATAAATCATTCCAAATGATAATGGAGTAATGTAGTGTTGCGGAAGCTTAATAAAACATAATACAAACATAATTCATTCATGTTCTTTTAAACATTAATTCAAATCCGCACACCCATTCCGAACCTCTCGCTCCATCTGCCTCTAGGAAATCATCGGTTCATTCTTTCTGTTTACATATCGGTTCATTCTTTCTGTTTACATGCGTGTAGCAAATAAAATATACTACACGCTCAGCGTTTAAGCTAAGTAAGCATATCTAATGCGTCGAACATCTATATAAACTGAACCTAAATTCATAATCAAATCATTTAATATCATGCACATAATGTTCAGTTCGGGTATTCAATAATCAATCTTCAATTTTGTTTATTCATTAATGTTCATATTCAACATTCATCATTAATATTCATCATTTGTATATAACATTTCTCATTCAACAATATCCATAAACTATTCTTAGTTAAGGCCAATCTGTTTCATATTTATTAACCCTTAAACGAATTCTAGTTTAAGATATTTCTAACCAATTCTTAAACTATATTCTAGTCTAAAGTAATTTTATCCAATCCTCAAGCTAGGCTTAGTTTGAGATAAAACTTACCTTCGCTTAAGGCCAACCAGAAACCGAACAGCGAAATGCTCACTGTCGGGTTGGGTGGTATCCATAAACGAGTGATCCTCAAGTTTGGTTTGTAGATCCCGTACGTACGTTTTAACCAAGGCCATCGAATATTCATAATTATACCCGTAAGGCCTATCTTTAAGCTATCTTATAGATCTTCTAGATAGTCTTAGAAACCTATGTCAACCTAGTTATATCTTAGAGTTCTTTTAGTTATCCTTAGAATCCAAATTATTTCATAATCATCAATATATTCACTTTATATCATAGTTTAATCATTATTAATCATTTTTAATCAGTGGGTCATCAATCATAATCATCATAGTAATCATTCATTGTAACCATCAATAAACATATTATTCAATTACAATTAGCGGCATAGTTTCTAATGTTAACACTCTAACTTACCGTCATGCATCACATAAAGTTTTACTTACCACACTACAAGAAAAGAGCCTTTTAGCCGCATTTAATTCACCGCACATGACCAAGTGTGATAATAAAATTTAGCACTTTATTATTTCCTGCACTTAAAAGAGAGGCAAAATGCAATTTCATTTACCCGCATAAAAAAGTGTGCAAAATGACATAAGTATACTTAATTATTATAAAATAAACCTAAATCATTATTGATCTTTTTTTTCTTCCGTAACCTAGGAATTGAAAAGATTAAATTATATTCTACTCCGTATTACTCTTTAAAAAACATTAAAAATCAGCACAAGGAATTCACAGGAAAAAATTCATCCGCCTACAAAACTTAATTAGCGCCCAGTTTTTTCACTTCAGCGCCTAATTTCATCCGCCTAAAAACTTAATCGGTGAATTCAGTCCCGCCGTCCTGCGCTACCACAGCCGGCATCACCTACGACCTAATCGAGTGACCAATTCCATCGTTTTCGCTCGAGTGAATTTATTAATCCAGCGAATTCATCCTTTTCGTTCATCAATCGTTTGGCCAGATTCATCGTTGATCAACAGCTTCTTCTCAATCGTTCGGCCAGATTCATCGTTCCTCTTAGGGATTGTTTGGCCCCCTTCATTGATTCAGGTATTATACCCCTTCAAACTCTTAATTTATATCTTATAACACTTAAAATTATCCCCTCCTAAGCAAAAGGCAGGATGGCATTGAAATTATCCCCCCTTCCATTTATTTAGATTGTTGATCCTCTTGTTAATTCCTTCTTTGTCCATGCCTGCATATTTACTTTTTAGGACTACTTGTATGGTGAGTGAAGTCTTGGGGTGTGCGACACATAAAGAGAAGTTAGGGTAGACAAAAAATGTCTTGGATTGAAGGTGTATAGTGAGGCGCCAGAGCGTTGGGGCGTAATAAGTATATAATGCTTGACCAAAATGAATGGAAAAGGGGGATTTTATTACAAGTATTGAATTATGTAGCCCCATTCAATTTAGATAAATGTTTTGTTGTTGCTCTTTTCTTCTACCATTATTTCTTGGATAACTTGATCCTAAGAATTGAGTTACTGCTGTAGTTTATTCCAATCTCTTATTGCAAACTAATTTTCTTTTGATGGTAACTATGCAGCACTACTTGGATCAAGGAATCTATTGGAAGTAATCAGGCTCTTGAGCAAATTTCAGCAAACCTGTCAACCTATAAGGTAACATTATATAGCTATCCTAGTATCCTTGTTTAAGTGATACATATTCAAATGAAATAAGTAATACAGTGTAGTAATTTTAACTAAGATATGAAGATTACTAGATTAGACTCTGAGGTCTAAAAGTTAAAATATAAAGTTCGATAATTGAAACTTTTAATTGATAACTAGAATTATAAATAAAGAAAATGTAATATTAAAAAGAAGAAATCATACAAAAATCATTTGATCCTTTATTGCAAGTGATTATGATGTATTTTAGAGTAATTTAATTATAATTATCACAAGTAATGTTTGAAATGAGTGAGCACAAATTAAATCTTATCTATGCCTATATATGGATACTGACAGCCAAATTTCAATAGGCCCCTGACTCACCTCCAAAACTTAACTAGATGAGAGATACAATGCGAGGATAAGACAAGAAGATAATGATCGATTCAATAGAAAAAACTCTACCTACCCCCTAAAAAGAGAGAAGAACAATATCTTCCTAAAATACCCTTATCTTTAGCATCTCGTTTACATATCATTAGATCAAACTAGAATATGAAATAATTTTTTAACAGAGTGATCAAAGCTGAAAAAAGCATGATGTTCCTTGTTTAGGGCATGTTCTTTTCAACTTTATATTCGAGAGTCCATTTACCATTCTCCAGTTTCTACTTTCCAGAATCCAGTGTGCATATTTGAGTTTAAAACTACATTTAGATGACGGGGTTGATCATTATCTTCTCCATTAGACATTTGAGTTAACCAGTGGATTGTTCTATCCACCTGTAAAAATAATATATGCAGTGGATTGTTCTATCTGCATGTAAAAATAATGAGTAGAATATAAAGAAAAACAAACTCGGTTCCTTAAGACAAAATCAGAGGGAAGAACTCTCTAACGAAACAACATATTTGCCTTGTGTCTGACAACGGCAACACAAACTATCATTTTTATTATCCGTTCATTTCTCTCATGTGAAGTACAGTATCAAACTGCATAGATAAACAATGAATAGATAAACAAACTTAGTTCCTTAAGACCATATCAAATCAAACTCATCTAAAAGTTGGCTCGAACTTATGATACAGAGTTTGTTTTAGGGGTGGGCATGGATCAAGTGGTCTAGATTTTTGGTTGTCCCACGTCTTGTCCCAATATATATAAACGGTTCAGAGAATTGAGAATGTTATTGCCTTAGGATCTAAGAGACTGTTGGTATGTGCTATCTACGAATGACATTAAGTCAAGCTAGGGAATGGCTGAATGAGAAGCTTGAACAGTTGAGACTGGAGAGTAGCATTGGAAGCACATGGATTGTGCCAAAATAAGGGGTGTTATTTTGTGTTGGTGCTCATTAAGCTAATTAATGATATTCTTGTTTAAGCTCAAAACAAAAAGAATAAATGGCTCATAAATCTTTTTTTTTCTAAATAAATGTTAACCATAAAACTTTATGAGTAGTCTTTAATACTTTAGAAATTACCAAACAAAAATGTCTAGGGAGTACTGTATATTTATCATGAGAGGGCCAGGGGGGTTCAATGTGATCCCAAGAGGTCATAATGTAAAATGGTATATCACATGCCCCACGTGATTAAGAAATTACTGGTTCACTTCAATTGTTCAATTTATTCCATAAAAAGTAAGTTAAAAAGGCAAAAGGCATGTCATGACCCCTCACACCGTCATACGGGCCACCCCATTCTCATGAACAGAATTTTCAGTTTCTATCCTATTAAGTTGGAAGTCTTTAACTACACAAGTATTTGAGCACTCACGCAGCCCCTATGATATTTCTTGACTTTCAAATTGTGATCGAAATTACCCCTAAACACATTCAAATAAATTCTTTTTAATCTCTGAAGGTTCATAAGATATATCATAGTCACAAACAATCTAGTAGACTTGAGTTTTTCTAGGTCTAGACCTGAGATGCTAATATGCTCCTTTGTATTATGATACTCTGGTGCTTGCTTTCATTGATATACTACATATTTGCTAGGTAGCTACGAAAACTGAATCCAACAAGAACGCGGGCAAGGCATCTGGGTTATCAGCTTACTTTTATTTTAATCATTTTGAAACAGAAATGGGAGTATTAAATTCTGTCTTTTTTACCTTCTTAGCTTGTTGAACAAAACACAGATTGTATTCACACTATAAGAGTGTAAGCACTTGATATGATGTTTCACAATCCAATACTGATTTTCTTTTGGGCTGATTTTAAGCTACAAAAAAATGATGTGTCCCCCATGGCGACTAGATTAATTCTAAGAAAAAACTTTTTAACAAGTTTTTAAACACAGAAGTGTTTTTTTTTGCAATATTTATGGAATTACTGTCTCCTTTATAAACAATATATTGACTTGGTTAAAGATTGATGGTGTCATGGAAATCCATTCTCTTCTACATTCATGTCATGCTCATGAAGATATGCAACCATTTGAATGCCATTTTATTTGCTTGTAGGACCAATTATCTCATGCTCAAATTGAGTTATTGGTGGATATAGTGCTGAAACTTTACCCTTAAGAAGTTCAAATGTATCAATCTTTAACAAAGAAAGAACTTAGTATTGCTTACTTAGAGGGAATGGTATGAATTGAAGTGAAATTATTATCGTTAAGTTTCTTAAATTCTTTATTTTTTAGATATAAATGATGTCAATACTTGCAGGCTGCTAATTTATGTAAGAATAAGGCAGATCAGAAATTGATAAATATTGTCCTTCGTGACAAGCTGGAGGAAACAACACATGCAAGTCAATTATATATAGACGATGAACTTACTTTGTTATTTGTTTATTTGATAACTAATGGTAAAATGAAGATATGTGAATATGATTTTATACTTTTAAGCATCACTTTTACATTAATTTTTACAATATGATGAAAAATTAATACCACGATGGGTTTGGAACCTGTAGGTGCAATGTCAATCAAAGAAGGATAATAGCACGAAGAAAGGGCAATAAGTGGTGGTTCAAGCTTGAAGAGATGGTGTCAACCTAGCTCTACAGATCTTTTTGCACACATTAATTTGTTTTTTCTCTTCAATTCAGATACATTTGGATATATTTATAACATGTTTTTAGACACAAAATGTTGGATAATCGACTTGTTAGATGTAAGTATTTGAATTCTAATATACTTTTTATTTTTGGATATAAATCAAAAATTTCGTATATATTGTTAAAATAATTGTTATTAATTATTATAATGATTCTGGAGTGTGCATGTGTGGGTCTATATATATATATATATATATATATATATATATATATATATATATATATATATATATATATATATATATATATATATATATATATATATATGCCAAAAAATGGTATTTGCGACACTTCTATGTGTGCGTATAGTTTTTTCATTATTTTTTAAAAAATGATATCTGTGACACTTATATGTGTGATGTCTTCCGAACACATATAAGTGTTGCAAAATAAAATATTACCCGCACATGGCAAGTGTTGCAAAAATATTCATTAGCCACACTTATTTTAAAGTGCGGCAAAAAATTCCCTACATTTACGTAACCGCACTTAGGTCATGTGTGGCAAATTGTTTTTTCCACATTTATAAGTGTGGCGAATAACCAATTTAAGTGCGCCAAAATACCAAATTTCTTGTAGTGCCAAAAACATCATTTTTATTATGAAAAATCATCCTCATAATGATCATAATCAATTGGTATCAAAAATAGAATTTTATAGTTCAAAAATCATGTTTTCTGAACAATAATCGATTAATATATAATAGGAAAATTGATTAATAGCTACTGACTTCATTTTTAGCGAAATAACATGATAATCGATTTTTGCAGTCCAATAATCGAAAGTCTATTTGATTTTTTTATGAAAAACCGTTTTTGCATCGTCTTCTACCTCGAACCAACTTACGTAAATGTCATTTTTAGTCACCAAACATCAATTAAATTATATAGGAATGTTCTCCAATGTTCACAGATCATTTTAGAGTCATTAATTCATAGTTTTAACAACAATTTTAATGATTTATGATTCTTGGTTCTTCAAGCATGTCAAACACAAAACTCAACCAAACGGTCGTTTATAAACATAGAAACGGTCTATATAAACATTTTAATCACTAGATATATCTACAGGCTTACCTAGAAACTTAGCGGGGGTTTTAGAAAACTTCCGGGGAGGATTGTAGCTTGCTCCGGCGACAGGAAGCCCTCTAGACAGCACAACTTCACACTCTACACTCAAGGCTTTCTTTTGGGAGAAGAATGGTGTACACTTTTTGGTCCAGCTTTCTCCGGATTGAAATCCGATTGAACCGCTGGAGATTGCCGATTTTTTTATTCGGACATGCTAGGGTTTTGAACACGTATGCTCCAATACCATATTGACAAATAGAAAGATTGAAAATAAACCATAAGGGCCGCATGAATTTTAAAAATAAGTTTTGAAAATGAATATGGTATTAGTGCCAATTTTTCAAATAACAGGACACTATAGCTATTTTTCGAGCCAAGACCATCATAACAAGAGTTCTATTTTCTATTGCCATGATCCACAATTTTCAGTACTCCTTTAGCAAGTAATTTTCTTCATTTTTGGAGAAACAATATTTTCCAAAAAAGGGGCATATATTTAACGATGAGAAGTTGTAATATTACGCGACAACCCTAATTCACCGCTAAACCCCTTGGACCTACCAATTTCACCCCGTCCCTTCACTGTGAAATTGTTAAAAAAAAATACTTCCTCCGTCCCAAAACTCCCTTCCCTTTTTTTACTTGCCCATAAAATCCTTCCAATTTGTATTAAAAACTACTTTTATTCCTACTAATTCTTAATATCCCTATCATACCATACCTTTTTATGCTTAACCTAAACAACGCATCCTACTTTTACCCATCACATCAAGGATATTTTTAGAAAGTCAACAAAAAATATGATTTCCTTAAATTTCATAAAAGTCAAAATGTGAACATCTTTTTGGGACGAAGGAAATATGTGTGAACGTAGTATTTTGTCCAGAAATACTAACCACGACTTTAATCTCTTTTCGCTTTAAATTTGCATGAAATGAGTGGGAATAGAATATAATGGAAAAATGATTAAAGGGGTGTTGTAAGTGCTTTGCAAAAAAACTAAAAATTAAAAATTAAAAATAATCACACTATTTATGAATCACTCTCTGAGTATTTATCTATATTTGACTTTGTTCAGTCAAAATTAACAAATTTTGACTTCAAACTAAATAAAAGTGATATTTGATATTGATACAAATATAATTTTATTAGATTTATGATGTGAAACATTCTTAAAATATTATTTTATCGAATTAATATACCATAAAAATTTTATTTAATTATATACCAAATTGCAAAGAGGATTAGCCGAATTAACATCGAATTGCAAAGAGATTTGCCAAATCTTATTTTGGTAGCTTTGATACTTTCCTTAGGCAAGTTGAATATCCCGTAGCTTTAATTCTACCTAGTGTCGTTCGATAGTTCGATGGATAATCCGTGAAGAAGTGACATCAATCACTGGGCCTGAAGATATTACATTTCAGCACAGCGGAAGGGATAAATTCTTTCTAAATCATTCGCGCCTTTACATATGTTTAATTACATATTCAAAACAAAACTATATGTTCACTGATATTTCAGATGACATTAGTGATAAATCAAATCATGTAGGTCAACATATTAAAGGTCGTAATGACTTGAAGTCAAAAGATAGGTATACCAATGGTCATACTACTAACACATTAAAATACTACTCATGTGGTATTTTCATGTTGGGTTAGTCGATTACCATATCTCCAGATATGTACATACTTATAGATTGAGATATCACAGTATCCATAGCCTATGAGATGCGGTTATCTTGTCTAATACGGATTAGTCTTATTACTATCTTATGATGTCCGTATTATCATAATGTTCTTCGAAGAACATTTTAGAAATAGCCTCTTGAAATGTAACAGCCTCATAATCAGAACATTGTAGTTTTAATATATGCTACTAGAGCATTAAGTCTATAGAGAGAAGCTATGTTTATATACATGAGATGTGTAAACAATCTTCAAGACCTATTAGCTTAGTGTGACTCCCTTATGCCTTCCAAAATCCTTGGTGTGTCATTATGAAAAGTTGTCATATTTTTTTATTTGGAAAATCTTCACATTGCATAATCTATGTGATTACATCTGATGTCGGGTTTGTTCTTGATGAGACTGTGGTTCATTAGTTCATGCGATAATCCATCGTTGTCACTACAACAAATGGCATCTTCATACTAAGAACAATGTGGAGCTAGAACTTTTTTACCCAAACACTCTACTTAGATGCTTCAAAAGCTGCTATGTTCTGTAGTTGAATTTGCGGCAGTGTCTTGAAGCTCTTATAGCTTACTACACCCATATTCAAAACATGTAACCTTTGTGCAATGTGTCTACCATGTGATATAGAATCCATCATCATATCGGATAATATCTTCATCGACATACAGTAACACTGTTGGGTAGTCTCTGGTAACACCTTTAAGGATGCTACTTTTGGCATGTAGTGACGACCACAAACTTAGCATGCTATATCTCATAACATTTAGAGTAGAATGTATTTAGTCTATTTCATGACCTTTATGATGGATCTAAAGGTACTTGCATAATGAATGATTCTTATACATTCCCTCTATTAGAGCATTGAGGAATGTCGAGTCTTTGAAAGGCTTAGACCCTTGGATTATGGGTAGGTATTAAGATTCATCTGCATTGAATCTATGAATGACTTACTCTTATATAGATCTAGTAGCTCCATTTAATATATCTCAATAGATTTAATATCCCGTGCGTATTTGTTTTTCCTATTCATAAGAAATTCTCCCTCAACTTCCCATGGATGTTTGGAATAGGAATATCGCGCTTATGAAGTGTATGTCATACATACCTTAGAGGAAAACCATAAGCTCCCACTGACATCTTATAGTCACAAGATTTCATCCTTTTCAAAGACAAACTCATATTTGATTATTAGGGGTGGGCAATACCGTCCCGACATTTTTCTGAACCATACCATTATTGTACCGAACCAAAAAGCGAGTTTTCAAATGTTTTTAGTGAATTATATCCAAACCGATCCGAATCATTATCAAAATGATACGGGACGAGTTTCTAAGAAATAAATACTGAAAATACCAAACCGAACTGTTATCACTAAAATATTAAATCTATAAATTAATTATACATTTTCATTTGTTAATTTTTAGTAAGTTTGGGTGATATTTATTTGGTGTGACTTTGACATACTTAAATCTATATGATTTATAATACTCCAGGGTAATTTATTACCCCAAAGTACAACTCAAATTATAATTTTATTTTTTACAAAAGTGAACTATGATAAAGTTTTTCCAAAAAAAGGAATTAAACAATACACTTGTTGAGTAAGAAACTAAGAATGCATAAAAACATTTGTGCACCAATTTTTTTAATTACGTTGGTTATTTGTTATGAATAAAAATATTTTCAAAGCGTCGAAGTATTATGAAATGGTTTAGTATTAGTATGGCATGATATCATCCTGTTGCCGAACGACATTATACCGAGTGGGTTTAGGCATATATTCAAAACTGTACCGAACCAATTGAATAGTTACGGTATAGTACAAGTTCTTTAAAAATACTGAACCTTCATAGGCCATGCCTACCCCTAATGATTATGATTCTCTTGAGAAAATGAAATAACTCCAAGAAGCTAGCTTCAATCAAAACATTGCTTGTTGTATACAACATTCATTGGCATATTCTTCAAGAGCACAAAGTTCCTTCAAGTTGTATTGCAAATACATCTTTCTAAGAGACTTGTGTTGGAAATCTGTGTGTCTACCAAATAACCTTATGCAACAACTACAAATAAGATCTCATCGGATAACATTAATAATTAGATCTTATGGATTGTCACCATTTCTAGCATTTAGGGCCACTCATACCTTTAAGATTGGTCTATGGATCATCTCAGATATGTGAATATTTATTTCCTCAGTTCTAGCAGAACTGAATCCAATTGATGATTGATGTATCTCAGCAGACTTTATCTTCCCAAAAAATTTCATTCTAGAAAATAAAAAAATTGAAAATGTTTAAATTGAGATAGATAGAGTATTTTTTTTATTTTCATTTCAAACATAAAAATAAACCACAAGGGCCACGTGAATTTAAAAATAAATTTTGAAAAAGAATATGGTAATAGTGCCAATTTTTCAAATAACAGGGACACTAAAGCTATTTTTCTAGCCAAGACCATCATAAGAAGAGTTCTATTTTCTATTGCAATGATCCACAATTTTCAATACTCCTTTAAGCAAGTAATTTTTCTTCATTTCTAGAGAAACAATCTTTTCCAAAAAAGGGCATATATTTAAAGATGAGAAGTTGTAATATTACATCACTTCAAGTGATGCAACATCATGACCTCAACAGTTTTGGAGCACCTACGGTGCTTCGTTTGTAAAATTAATAGTTCCTACCCCTAATCCACCCCTAAACCCTCTGGACCAATCAATTTCACCTCAGTCCTTCAACGTGAAATTGTTAAAAAATACTTCCTCCGTCCCAAAATCTCCTTCCCTTTTTTTACTTGTCACATAAAATCCTTCCAATTTCTATTTAAAAACTACTTTTATTCCTACTCATTCTTAAAATCCCTATCATACCATATCTTTTTTAGGAGCATACTACCCTCACCCCAGTTTGTACCTCATTTTGTACCCCCAAAGGTTTACCCTGACATAAAATATAAGTGCAACACTAGCATAATACCAGTTTTGCACTTACATTTAATGTTACGGCAAAGCCTTGAGGTACAAAATGGGGTACAAATAGAATTTTTCATCTTTTTATTAATAATCTACACATCATATCTTATTTTTACCCATCACATCAAAAGTATTTTTGAAAAGTCAACACAAAAAATATTACTTCCTTAAATTTCATAAAAGTCAAGACGTGAATATCTTTTTGGGACGTAGGAAATATGTATGAACATAATATTTTGTCGAGAAATACTAACCACGACTTTAATCGCTTTTGCTTTTGCACAACTCCCGCTTTAAATTTGCAAGAAAGGAGTGGGAATGGAATATAATGGAGAAATAATTAAAGGGGTGTTGTAAGTGTTTTGCAAAAAAAAAGTAAAAAATAAAAATTAAAAATAATCACACTATTTATGAATCACTCTCTGAGTATTTATCTATATTTGACTTTGTTCAGTTAAAATTAATAAATTTTGACTTTAAATTAAATAAAAGTTATATTTGGTATTGATACAAATATAATTTTATTAGATTTATTATGTGAGATATTTTTAAAATATTATTTTATCGAATAAATATACAATATATATTTTATTTAGTTATATGTCAAGTTACAAAGAGGATGCGGCATCGAATTGCGAAGAGATTCGCCAAATCTTATTTTGGTAGCTTTGATACTTTCCTTTAGCGAGAAGAAGAGACCATTGCTTTAAATCCTTTAATTCTACCTAGTTTCTTTAAGAGATGTCTGGTATATTATGTGTCAAAAAATAGTGCTTTACAGAATGCCAAATGTCACCTTTCATAAGTCAAACTTTGAAATTTATAAAAAAAAAGGGCAAGGTTCCCAGCGGGGGCGCTTCGGTGCCCTGTTCGTAAAATTGACGGTTCCTACCCCCCTAACTCCCCCGGTAAACTCCCCCCCACCCTGCCCCGACCCGAACACACCCCTCCCCACCCCCTTCAATTACACTCCACAAGTTGATTTTGACTTTGGAGTCAAAATTTGACTCCAAAGTCAAAATCAACTTGTGGGCTGCAATTGAAGGTGGTGGGGAGTGTGTTCGGGTCTGGGCGGGGTGGGGGTTAGGAGGGGTAGGAACCGTCAATTTTATGAACGGGACACTGGAGCGCCCCCGGGTCATCCCATGACATTGGTTCCCAATGTTATGGGAACTGGTTCGCAATGTCATGGGAACCTTGGTTAAGGCCCCGTTCCGTTCAACTTATTTTTTCTTATTCGTATTAAAATCAGATCAGATCAGATCAAATCGAATCAGATCAGATCCAATCAGATCAGATCAGAACTTATTAAAATCAGATCTCATCAAGAATTATTATTATTATTATTATTATTATTATTATTATTTTTCTTAAAAATGAAAAAGAATAAACTTTAGAAACATGTTAAATAGAAAACTGAGAAAGTAATCCTTAATTATTAGACATTGTAAAAATTCGTTTTAAAATATATTGACAATGTCAATCTCATTCTACTTTTAAAATATATTTTTATTGCTACTTGTAATTTTAGTTTCTAAAGCTTTGATATTTTATAAAGATGAGATATTTTAATAAAAATACTATCTCTTCTATATATTGATTATCTAAATTTAATTACTTTTTATTGTATATATAAATTAAATATTTATTCTAATGTATATATGAAGTAATTATTAAAATATTATATTAGTATTCTAATTTCACAAAAAACATAATCATAAAATAAAAAATATAATTACATTATAATATGAATGATTATTCTAATATATGAATTAACTAATTTTATTTTATTAAAAAATAATCATTAAATAAAAAATATTGATTATATTATAATATGAATTATCATTACAATTTTCAAACGTTATTATAAAGTCAAGTCAAATTATTGATTTGAATTTTAAATCAAATCATAATTAATCAGATCAGACCAGATCAGATCAGATCAGATTCCATCAGATCAGATCCAATCAGATCAGACCAGATCCAATCAGATCAGATCAGATCCATTCAGATCAGATCCATTCAGATCAGATCCATTTAGATCAGATCAGATCCATTTAGATCAAATCAAATCAGATCAAAATTTATAATAATCAGATTAGATCAGAAAAAATAAGTTGAACGGACCGGAGCTTAAGTCACTTCAAACAGTTCAAAGTACTGTAGTTTTTAGCAATTTAGGCCCCGTTTGGTACACGGAATTCAAACTATGGAATTGAAATTGAGGACTTCAATTCTAATTCTCGTGTTTGGTAGCACAAAAATTATGTTGATTTGGAATTGGTAGTGCAAAAAATGATTTGGAATTGGTGAATTCAATTCTATGGAATTGAGTCCCATGAAATTTTAATTCCAATTCAATTCCAATTCCATCAATTCTGTATACCAAACGGACCCTTAAACTACAATTAGTCAAAACTTATGCAGCACTTTGGAGGGGAGGTAGTACTTTTTAAAATAAATGGTGCAAGAGTCAAGAGAAAGAAGTCTAGTGGTACACACTGATGGGAATTACTACCGTGTTTAATTAATCCATTTGTTGAATTTGTACTCTCGCTAGATTTTGATCTCCGACCAAGGCGGCAGTGCATCCTCCAATAATGGCTTTCCCCGCCCTCGTCCTCCTCATCTCAGCTCTCTCCCTTTTCAACCAACCTCCCTTCTCCGCCGCAAGACGCCACAGCTCCGCCGGGCTACTCAGGTCACTGCTCATTCCGGAGCACCCACAAAACGATATTCCCACTACCTACTTTGAAGTCACTAAGCCCATAAAGATCCCAAAAACCAAACCTTGCTCATACCTAGTTCTGGAGCACGATTTCGGTAGTACCTACGGGAAGCCACCGGTTCTTGCAAACTACACCCGCCCTTCCAATTGCTCTTCCCAGAAGTTCTCCAAAATTGTCCTCGAATGGGAAGCCACCTCTAAAGGCAGGCAATTTGACCGGATTTTTGGGGTCTGGCTCGGCGGGGTTGAGATCCTCCGCAGTTGCACTGCCGAGCCTAGAGCTTCTGGAATTGTGTGGACTGTCAACAAGGATGTTACTAGGTATTACTCTTTGCTGATGAGTTATCACCAGATTCTTGCTGTTTACATGGGCAACATTGTAGATCATACTTATACTGGTGTTTATCATGTGAAAATCAAGATTCATTTTTACCCAGAGGAAGAAAAAAGCTCCCGTTCGTATTCTGGGCTTGATTCTGTACCTGATTTGATCCTTCCTGTTTCGAGAGATTTGCCTCTGAACAGCGGGTTGTGGTTTGAGATTGAGAATTCAACAGACACGGAGTCGAAGCAGTTGGAGATCCCTCAAAATGCTTATAGGGCTGTTTTGGAGGTTTATGTTTCGTTTCACGAAAACGATGAGTTTTGGTATGGTAATCTGCCTAATGACTACATCGCTGCGAATAACATTACGGATCAACCCAGGAACGGACCATTTAGAGAGGTTCTTGTCAGCCTGGATGGTAAAGTAGTTGGAGCTGTTTGGCCCTTCACTGTGATTTATACCGGAGGCGTAAATCCTCTCCTGTGGAGACCCATTACTGGAATTGGCTCATTTGACCTCCCTACATATGACATTGAGATAACTCCCTTGCTAGGGCTGGTATTAGATGGGAAGAGTCATCAGATTTCATTCAGTGTCACGCATGCTCTCAACGTTTGGTACATTGATGCAAACTTGCATCTTTGGCTGGACGCCGGTAGTGAGAAAACACAAGGGCAGGTCATAGAATACAATAGCTTGCCAATTTCTTTGTCCCATACATCAAATTTCACTGGCTTGAATGGTTCCTTCATGACTGTGGGCAATCGAACCATAAGGTTGACTGGATGGGTAAATTCGTCTCATGGAGTGGTTCGTACTGAAGCAATTCAAGACTTCAAGTATACCAATGTTATGATTATGGGGAACCAAGGGAATATGCAGATTGTAAACCAGACTATTCATTCCAATGATGCAGTTCATTTTAAGACGCAGTCTTCTTCTTTCCCTTCCTTCCAATCTGCTAAGAAGTTCAATCTGTTTATGCATTCTGATGACATACATCAAGGAAATAAAACATATTCTTCTGTTGCAAATATAACATTGGGATTCAAGGAGAAGTTGATCGAATCTTCTAATTCCAGATCTTCCACCAGTTTTCTCAACAACTTACAGAAAGGAAACGGATCCATGCTCATAAAGGACAACTCGGTAGTCGATGGATTGGGTAGTACCCAGCAAGCATACCATTATCGTGATAATTCTTCTTGCTACTTGAGGAATATTAGCAGCTCAAACTACACAATCCTCAATGACAAAGTGAGCTATGCTTGTGAGGAATGATATCGTAATCTTCCTGCTCGAAGGGGCATATTGGCAACCTAGTTTCATGATACTAAGATTGCCAAGGTTTCTTTTTTCTGACTTCATTCACCAAATACTAGTTTCACGATTTGTTATTAAGTCGTATTCCGTACTTTATTATGCATGTTCAACATGCCTATGTGTTGACTCAGTAGTTTGGTTCTCCCTAATTTAGAGCTAATGAAACTATTCTATCACAACAATAACAAAGCCTTCAACTACATGGATAGAACGACGTCATTACGCCCTATCATGTATCATATGTGTAGCGAGATTGTTCACGCGTTGATCACCATTGACCACTTCGTGCCAAGTTTTCTTAGGTCTACTCTTTCATCTAACCTCATGCCTCTATTGGCTTCTCTTCACATGTCCAAACCACCTAAGACATGCTTTCACTATATTTTCAACAATAGGTATCCCTCATACTTTTGTTCGCGTATCTTCATTATTTATTCTATCCATACGCATATGACCGTTCATCCACTAGATCATCTTCCTTTCGGCTACCCTACCCTTGTAGTCATGTTCACATTTTGCTACCTAACACTCTATTCCATTGAAAATGACTCGTCTAATTGCAGTACGATAAAACTTTTCCCTTGAGTTTTAAAAGTACTTTTTGTCGTATATAAAGCCTAACGCACTCCGCCATTTCAACCAACCTGTTTGAATAGAGGATTCACCAACAATTTTGGTCCCATTTGGATTCCCATCATTATCAATAAGAACTGCGGCATTGATCATGATATCCCGTTATCACCATTGAGTTCTTAGTTCTTTACGGGTCTGCACATTTGCGGCTCTGATTGCAAATTTTTCTAGATGGAGTGTACCTTTAGGTCTTGTTTAGGAGGGCGTTTGATGCCTGAAATGATCCGCTGCTCTAAACAAAGGGTATGGGATATATATCTCTAAACATAGAGTTTGGACTGATTTGTTAGGTTGGTAAATTCTCTTTGATAGAGTTTATTGAACTAGAATCCTTGCCATAAACATTTATAGCAGGAGATGTGCACCTTGGGATCCGAGTAAATTTTGTGATAAAATATGTAAAATTGGTATTTTCCTTGATTGATTCAATACATGGTACATCATTTTTATACAAGAGTAAGGACTCCTAAACATGGTAGGAGTAGGAGTATGGAAACTAATATATTTACAATAATAATTAGAATATATACTTTATTTAAATATAATATAATATATTTAACATGCTCCCAACTATGTCGGCTGAAGAGGGGGCCTAATGCCAAGATTTGTCTTGAAATCTGAGAATAAGATGGATGGGAGTCCTTTTGTGAATATATCAGCATACTGTGAAGATGAGGGGACATGCAAGACTCTGACCTGTCCGAGTGCAACTTTATCCCGAACAAAATGAATATCTACTTCCACATGCTTGGTACGCTGATGTTGTACGGCGTTGGACGAGAGATAAGCCGCACTTACATTGTCGCAGAAAATCAGGGTGGTGCGGCGTAGGGGAAGACGAAGCTCGAGTAGAAGGTTTCGAATCTAGCATGCTTCGGCCACTGCATTTGCCACGGCTCGGTACTCTGCCTCTGCACTTGACCTGGATGTGGTTGCTTGGTGTTTGGAGGACCAGGAAACGAGGTATCGCCTAGGAAAACACAGTAGCCTGAAGTGGAGCGTCGTGTAACAGGGCATCCAGCCCAGTCAGCGTCGGAGTAGGCCTGGAGAAAGTCAATGCTGGAGCGAGTAATGCAAATGCCATGAGTAGCCGTCCCACTAATGTAGCGCAAAAGGCGCTTCATGGCCGTGACGTGAGCCTCGTGTGGTGCATGAAGATGAAGGCAGAGTTGCTGTACGGCATAAGTGATGTCCGGGCGAGTAAAAGTGAGATACTAAAGGGCGCCCACGATGGACCTGTAGAGGAAGGCGTCATGGGCTGGCGGGCCAGCGAGGGATGGGAGCTTCAGTTTTGAGTCCACGGGTGTAGAGATGGGTTTGAAACCGATCATCCCAGCCCGCTTAAGAATGTCATGTGCAAACTGAGTCTGATGCAAGAAGAGTCCAGACGGGGTTCGCTGTACATTTATGCCCAGAAAGAAATGTAAGTCTCCCATATCAGTCATAGCAAATTCCCCTGTGAGCTGGGAAGTGAGGCGGTCTAGTAGTGTGGACGAGGAAGCTGTAAGAACGATGTCATCGACATACAGGAGGAGGTATGCCGTGTCTGGTCCCTGTGTGTAGGTGAAGAGAGACGTGTCAGCTTTGCACCCAGTGAAACCCAAAGTCCGAATGAACCCTGCAAATCTGTGGTACCATGATCGGGGTGCCTGCTTTAGTCCATAAAGTGCCTTCTTGAGTTTGCAAACATAATGAGGTTTCGAAGGGTCCTGGAAACCAGATGGCTGTGTAGCATAAACAGTGTCTGTGAGTGTCCCATGTAAGAAGGCATTTTTGACGTCCAGCTGATGGATGGGCCACCCTCGTGAGATGGCAATGTTGAGGACGATCCGAACGGTCGCAGGTTTGATAACCGGACTGAAAGTTTCGTCATAGTCAACCCCGAATCGTTGATTAAACCCCCGAACTACCCATCGGGCTTTGTACCTGGTCAACTCCCTGGTGGGTCCAAACTTGTGGCGGAAGAGCCATTTACCGGTGATAACATTTTGGGAGGGAGAGGGTGGTACAAGTTCCCAGGTGTCATTTCGTAGTATAGCATTAAATTCATCACACATAGCGGCATGCCAGTTTGGATCCTTGAGCTCACTACGGTAAGTTGGGGGTAGGGGGAGATGGAAGCGGTGGTATTTATGTTTAGGATTTGTTTGGGACAGGAAATGCCGGACATGGCGCGTGTGACCATAGGATGCTGGTTATTTGGGACCAGGTGTGGGATTGGATTTTGGGCTGTGAGGTGAGGGGTTGTAGCTGGGCTGGGTATTTGGGTTACGGGTGGGCTGCGGTTTGTGGAGATGGGTGGGCTGGTGGGGTGTTCTGGAGTTAAGGGTGGGCTACGGGTTTGTGTGGCAGTGGGCTGGTCCAGGGGGGTGTCGGGTAGGCTGTGGGCTGGGTTGGGGTTTGTGGGGGATACGGCTGGGCTGGGCCGAGGGGGGAGGAGGTGGGTATGGGGTGGGGGATCGTCCTCCGAGGTATCAAGGAAAGAAAGATCAGACTCGGTGGTTTGGGAGTTGTACGGGAAGGTGGACTCGTCGAAAACAACATGTCGGGAGATAATGAGTTTATGGGTTTGGAGATCAAGACATCGGTAACCTCTTTGATTGGCAGGGTAGCCAAGGAAGACGCAACGGGCTGATCGGGAGGCGAGTTTGTGTGGTGCGGTGGACGAGATGTTTGGGTAACAAAGACAACTGAAGACACGTAGGTGGGAATAGGTAGGAGGAGAGTGAAAAAGGATGACGTGGGGGGTTTGATTGTGTAGCGTGGTGGTGGGTAGGATATTAAAAAGGTGAGCGGCCATATGGAGCGCCTCAACCCAGAATTGTGGTGGAAGGTTCGCTTGAAAGAGAAGAGACCGGATAGAGTTATTGATGGTACAGATAGTGCGTTCAGCACGGCCATTCTGTTGACTCGTGTGGGGGCAAGAGTAGCGAAAGAGAATGCCGAGGGAAGTGAATATATTTTTGAGGGGGTTGTTTCGATATTCAGTGCCATTATCACATTGTACAGCTTTTATTGTAGAGTTAAATTGATTTTTGACATAAGCAACAAAGGCAGTAATATGAGTATAAGCGTCAGATTTGTGATGTAAAGGAAACACCCAGAGATAATGGGAAAAGTCATCCAATAGTAATAAATAAAATTTAAAACCTGTTACACTGGGGATCGAGGATTGCCATAAATCAGAGTGCAAAAGTTGAAATGGAAAATAAGAGACACGACTAGAGGGATAAAAGGGGAGGCGAACATGTTTCCCCAACTGATACGCATGACATAACATATTTTGTTGACTCTTTAAAAAAGGTAAAAACTGTGAGACACCACGGAGGACGGCCGGGTTGGGGTGACCAAGTCGCCGATGCCAAAGGTGATAGTCAGCGGCAGCATGGTAGGCTTGTGCTGGTGCTGGGTGGTGCATGGGATAGAGAGGGCCATCATTATTGGAGCGATGCATCACGGTTCCCGTTCGACGGTCCTTCACAGAAAAGCCATGAGCATCAAATTCAACAGAACAGTCATTATCACGGGTAAACTTACGAATAGAAATAAGATTATGAATTATGTGTGGGGAGACAAGAATATGGTTAAGGGAGAGGGGGGGGGTTGGTGGGAAGGGTGTGGGTGCCAACACCCGTAGTGCGCGCTTTGGATCCATTACCGACAGTGATATATGTAGGTGAATTTAAAGTACTAGAAGAAACATGAGAAAGTGTACCTGGGTCAGAGGCAATGTGGTGAGATGCACCGGTATCCATGTACCATGTAGGTTCTTGCAAGGACATAGTGTCAAATTGATGGCTTAAGGCCGTAGGTGTAGTGTTGGTGGTCGAGGGGCTGGGGTTGTTTGGGTTTGGGTAGGACAGTGGCTCGGTAG